CCCCCCCCGAGGTCCTTGGTAGCCATCATTTAATGTTTGCTTTTGTGTCTTTCGTATGAGTTCGACAGAGTGCGGGCCACATCTACAGACTGCCATAGCTGGAGCGGCCCTCATGAAGATCTGTCAGCAGTGGCGGCAATTTCCAGCCCTGGAAGAGGCCCACCTGCCAGTTAACTTTGTTCACTTGGAGGGATCCCACCGCCCCCTCTCTCCTGCAAAAACCCCTGAAATCACGGCAGATGCTTGTGTGGTTTTCCCAAAGGACAGACCTCAAGTTGCATGTCAGGGAAGTGAGGTCCTCCCGAAGCCTGGCTAAAAGCCCGACTGGATCAATTCAAGCGCGTGGTGAGATAAAGCCGCATCCTCCCTGCCCCGTGAGCACACCACCGGTAATGGAGGAACAGCTGTCTGCTCAGAATCACCAGTGAGCAGGCCTGTGTCCTCGGGCCTGTCCTCTCCACAAACATACTGAGAGGATGAATGAGGGAAAGGAGAGGAGGTGGCAGTGGCGGCCTTGACCCTTCACAAGGCTGGGGCGGGGCGAGGGAGGGGTCTGCCACACCCTACAGGCTGTGGAAAGAGGCAGCTTCAGACAGTAGACATGTTTGTTTGTTGTTTGCTTGTTTTGAGATAGGGCCTTGGACTCACAGCAACCCTCCTGCCTCAGCCTCCTGAGGGCTGGGACCACAGGCGTGCGCCACCTCACCTAGCAGGACAATAGAACTTGATGCACAGGTCTTTCACAGAATATGTTTAGGATGATTCTGAGTGAGACACACACATGCTCAGTAATGTTGAATGAATGAATGAATGAATGAATGAATGAATGAAAGACAGCACTGGCCTCATGCTCCTCCTCCTGCTGCTCTACCTCCACCTCCCCTTCTGCGAGGGAAGACGCAAGCCTGGTGGGGTGGACAGGGCGGGCCATGTTTCGGATGCATGTGTGCATGTGTGTGTAGGCATGACCATATATCTGCATACATGTCTGGGGTGGTTCCCAGGCCGTGTTGTGACAAATTCTCTCCACATTCTCTCTTCCTCTGAGTGTTCACACACGTGTGGTGGGTCTTCGTTCCTTCATGCTCTGTGCACACGTATGAACATGTGTTTGATGGAGAGGCTCCTCACAGCCATGGGTGTGGCAGTGGGTGTGTGCGTTCTGCGAGAGGCTCTCACTTGCGGCCTGTGACCCCGAATGCCACTGGTGTGTGTGTGTGTGTGTGTGTGTG